TGCTCTTGGCACCCCAGCCCAGGTCGCCACTCCTCCCTAGTCCCCGCCTTCAACTCCACCCCGGAGCGCAGAGGACAAGCGAGAGGGCGCTGGAATTTCCCCGCGCGGGGACTCAGGCTTCCCCTGGAACCCAGTAGTGCCTTTCTGTTTACGGAAGAAAGGGGAAATGGAAAACGAGGGGAGGCGGTGGCTAGTGTCTGCTGCGCCGCCCCCCAGCCGGCTCAGACGCCCTGAGTCAGGGACGGAGGAGGGCGGCCCCGGCACACTCGGCTGCTACTGTCAGGAGGACGTGCCACACTCGGGGGGCTGGTCGCCCTGGCTCCCACTTCTGCGCCCCTCGGCGCTTCGTGCTCCAGAACTCTCCACTCCGGTGGGCCGACCACCAACCGCGCACCGAGCCGTCGCGGGCCCGCAGGAGCGCTCGGCCTGCAGAGGCGCTCGCAGGCAGCAGGTAACTGGTGTGCTGGCCTCCTGGGCATCTTTGGGGCCGCGCTCCCTCTGAATGTCTCTGGGGTTTCAGCCCTGAATTCGAGATTGTCCCACAGAGGGGAGAACTCCGGGGGGCAAGGGGTACTAGGGTGATGGTGGTGCAGTTTCACGTACTTCTCTCATGCTGATCGCCTGCAGCAGTCAGGCACGACTGGAAAGCACCTTGCGCAAGGGTCTCACGGGGTGCAGACTCGCGACTCCTCCCCCTTCCTCCTCCTTCCCGGATCCCCAGTGACGAGCAGTGCTGGTCCGAGCAGTGCACGGGGGAGCAGGGACCTGCTGTCACTGCGCCTGAGGTGGCAGATGTCCGGCAGGACAGCTGCACTGTCCCTGCTGAGCCTCGGGTAAGTGAGCCTCAGTGACTGGGGTACTTGGCAGCCCGCCTAAATAATAGGTGCATTCGTAATTTACAGGCTCTCCGGGCTTCAAGGATTGGGAAGAGGGAGTTGGGGGTTGCTGGTGCAGAGACTTTCGTGAATGATTGAAATTCAGTTCATGCTTGGAACCTGGGAGGACTCTTCTGGAGCTCTAGTGAGTGCCAGCAGAAAGTGGAACCTGAGCTGCCGGTCTGAGGAAGATGAGGAATGTCCCAGAAGTGGTTTCCTGGCAGGCATGGGATATCAGGACTTTGAAGCTCTTGTAGTTGTGGAGGTGAATGAAGCCCAGAAAGCCCAGAAAGGAAACCCCCGCGTGCACAGGGTTAGACCCTCAAGTCCACCGGGGAAGTCCACAAGTTGCCTTTAAAGATAAAAGTTATTACACGGTTTGTCCTTGGACTGTGGTCTGGAATAAAGAAAGAACCGCTGTTGATAAAATCAGGGAAAGAAACACTAAAGTGATTTCTTGTCAAGCCTGGAGCCTAAGTCCTATGTGTTTGTCAAGTAGAGTGTCACTGTTGCAGAGCGGCTGACTCCTTTCCGATGATTGAATTTTGTGCACAATACATCCTGGCAGATGGCCTTAGGAAGTGTCTCATGTAAGGAAAACTGGGTAGTTGAGGTGACCAGAAGTTTTTGAAGCAGAGTGCCTAAGGCTTCTTTACGACAGTGGGCTTCATTTTGGGGCATTTTGTAAAACTAGACCATGGCAGGTGTGCCCTGCGGTATTAGGGCAGATGTTAGGCAGAAATCTGGGATGGTCTGGGTTCCAGAGTAATTTTCATTGACATGTGACAGAAACCTTCAGCCTTTGTTTATGTAGCTGGAAGTATGATAGAAATGAAACAGATTTCTTTTTTATTACTAATTGCTGACAATCATCCAAAGCAAATAATTGTGACTGTATTCACATGCTCCTCCCATTCTAAACTTGAAGTGGTCATCTAACTTTGTTAAGAAGTAGGAATTTTAGGAAGTTTTTATTAGCTGTGAGCTTGGCTAAGGGTATGGGGGGATGGATGGCATACACAGTAATCCCATAATAAAGGTCTTTATTGCTAAACTAGAATTTCTTTATAGTCCATGCTTTTTCTAGATGGTCACTTAAGGTGAATGGCTTAGAATTATTAGCATGCTGTCTCCTTAATTAAGGCTGGAAACTGCTGCTGCCTCTTTTTTGGGGGGAGGGGTTGGGGAGCTTTAACAGAGGCCTTTAACCCTTTTTGCTTGGTTGCTGGGGAGTGTTGATTTCCAGAGCCAGGGCTGATTTCACGCACTGAAGGCAGATTGTCTCCAACACTCCTTGGGGTCTTTTGCAGCCCTGGCTTCCAGCTTAGGCATGTGTAGTGTCTCTAACTTCAGGTTGTATTCACAAATGGCTGAGGCTTTCTGCAGGATTTGAAAACCAAAACCTGTCTTTCATCTCTGAATCAGCTGACTGACTTGTAACCTGCATGGAATTTTTCCTCCTTTCTGTCTTGAGTCACGTTGGTATCAGGAACTGTATGTTTTCCTTCAAGTCATCCATTTGACAAGTAAATCAAGGTGCCTCTGGTCTTCTCAGCCAGCAGAGTTCTAATTTAAGCTGTTTTTGTCTTAACTTCTGTTTTTTCCAGTCTAAATTCTGTGAGCAGAAACTGCAACAAAATGCCTTGCCGAAACCAATGCTTGACATTCTTCCATTAAGCCAACAAGTTCCTCTCATAATTCAGACTCCCAGAGCCTGAATCACAGTTCAGTGTTTAGATAGAACCGTGGAGATAACGCCATCAAAGCATTTCATAAATTTCTGCCGTTTCTTTGGCTCTTGTTTTAGATCTAATCTTTAAGACCTCATTGTGGAGTATCTGGAGGAATAGGTAGCCACAGTCTATGTATAAATAAGGAAAGCAGTCTAATGTAATATCTGTAAAGCCAGGAATCAGACTCTTATCTACTCTTCTTGTTGTTGTATACCATCGAGGGAACTGACCCCCCCATGGCCCATAGCTGACCTTTAAAGCAGGTTTTGAGAGACAGTTAATCACATTGAAAGAGATTGCCCATCATACTGCATTGCAGCTGGTGGATTTGAACCTCATGCCTTCGGTATTACAGTGCCAATTCTTACCTCTAGGCCACCAGAGACTCTACTCTTAGCAAATAATTATTGTTATTCTCAAGTAGAACTGTGTTTCATAGGATTTTCATGGCTGATCACCAGCCTTTTCTCCTGAGGCACCTCTGGGTGGGTTCTAGCACTAACCTTTCCACTTGTAATTGAGGGCTTAACCTTTTGCAACACCCAGGACTACTAGTGCACATAGAAGCAGCTACAAGTTGCGCAGCTAGTTAGTTTACTTGCCATCAGAAACTGCTCTGAGCACCTTAATGCACGTGATCTCATTAATCCTCATGGCAATGAGATAGGCATTGTTGTTGCTTCTATATACAGGTTGGAAACATGAATATAGGCTGGTTAAGATATTGATTTAATCCTTTATTTACAGTCAGTGTCCAGGTCCCTGTTTTAAACTGGAGGTGAGCCTGCACTCCCCAGATATAATCTTGCACATCAGAAAAAGACTATCAAACAAGCTAATGACAACAATGATTTGTGTAGTTGTTTTGTCAAGTGAAATCTACTGGATGCTGATGGCTGGGTCCTGAGGCAAACATCCCCGCAGGAGACCATTTCTTGAACCTTTCAGCCAAGTTGTGGAGTTGGTGGAGGGCTGTGGGTCTGCCCTGAATGTCCTAAGTGTTAAGAGTCTGCAGTTTGCAGAGTGTGAAGGAAGCCTCTTTTGGAGAGAGATTACTTGGAGAAGCAGAATAATTTGCACAGAAAGGTATTGCTAGGTTTGCCTCATTGCTGACCCACAGATGAGTTTTCAGAGGTTGTAAATTGCATGGGAGGAGACTGCACAGCTTTCTCCTTAGAAGCAGCTGATGGATTTGGATAGTGCAGCCCCTTTACCACTATGCCACCAGAGCTCTAAGTAAAAAGATAGGTTTTAAAATTCCAAATCTCTTGTAATTGTGTCACTTTTCCCATACCTTTACCTTTCCCCCTTCATTTACAGATTCCTTAGCATGATACTTGCTTTCCAGATAATGCTTGAACTCCAGTACTGGCTGATAATTGGCCTCTCTCTTGTCTTCTTTGGAGGGCTGGCGACATCATCTGTAGTGTGTTGAACTGCTAATGGAAAGGCTGCAGTCTCTGGGGATTCAGATCTACCATTTACTCCTCTGGAGCAAGATGAATAGTTTCCCTCTTCTGCTGTTAAGATTTACAGCCTTGGAAACTTGATAAGAGCGTAGCTATGAGTCACAATCAATTGGATAGCAATGAGTGAGTGAGTGAGGTCTTGTTTGTGGTTTGACTTGCCTGGTCTCTTTGTGCTACCACAACTTCTACCTATAACTTCTAGGTCATTTACTTAGATAGTAAATAAATCCCCTTGGGCCTTTCCAAATGTAAGCTTTGTACTCTTGAAGAAATCTGGTCCCAGGAAGGAGCAGCTGATTCACAGGCTAAATGAATCACTTCCTCTGTCATAGGAAACACTGGCAGGACTGGGATTTGAGATGTGCTGTGGAACACATCAGAATTATTCTGGAAACTCGACCTATGATGGTTCATAGAATATAATCCACTTTACCTGTTTGGCCCTTCAGGACTTGAGTTTTGTTGACTGAGGTAGCAACTACAGTCACAAAGTAATTCTTTAAAGTTTCCTTCTGTTGTACATAGGGTGTCTAGAAGTTGGAGTTGACTGGACAGCACCTAACAACAACATAACAAGAGGACAAAGGCTATCATGGTCATTGACGTGAACAGCAGGATTATGGAAGATTAGCAGCTGTAAAGCTCTCCTGCTGCTCCCCTCCCCCACAGTCAGGGAATGTTTTCAGCTGCTATAGTTGATGCCACCAGAGTTCTTTGTACATTCTGGGGGACTCCAGTTTCTCTGCAAAGAAAACTTTGGGCTAAAGGCTATCTAAGGTTCCTTAAAAATCTTGACTGTCTGTAAAAGTGAGTTCACACTCACTGTGAACCCAAAGCCCCCGTTTTATAAGCAAAGGCACTGCAAAGCTTTTCCGTAACCATTTTATGTCCCTTTCCATTGCCTCCCAAGGCTCCAGTGAAATAAACAAATGTGTGTGCTTTCTTCTGCAGCCTCCGGAGAGACCACAACAGTAATGGAGTACATGAGCACTGGAAGTGACAACAAGGAAGAAATTGACTTGTTAATTAAACACCTGAACATGTCGGATGTCATAGACATTATGGAAAACCTCTATGCAAGTGAAGAGCCAGCGGTGTACGACCCCAGCCTGATGACTATGTGTCAAGAGGGTAACCAGAACGAGGAGCGCGCAGAATCGCTGCTGCTCGGGGGCTCCGAGGTGCCCTGCTTGTCATCCGTGCGATATGGCACGGTGGAGGATTTGCTTGCTTTTGCAAACCATATATCCAATACTGCCAAGCATTTTTATGGACACCGACCACAAGAATCTGGAATTTTATTAAATATGGTATGTTCTTTTCTGATCAATTGAGTGCTTTGTGTTTGGTCTTTACAACTGCAGCTCATTTGATGCATTTGAACTTGGTGTAGAGTGCCTGTTGGGTGTGAGTTGAAAAAAAAAACACAACAAAACAAACCCCATACTATTTGAAAGAATCACCTCTAAGTTAAAGATGAAAGATAAAGCCCATTTTTATAAAATCTGTTGAAAAATAGTGTCCATAGTTTAGTAGTGATATTGTAAAATAGGTCATTAAGAGGAGAACATTTTGACTTAATGTTGCCTAAAATAAGTTTGTTCATCCTTGAGGCCCAAGGTACAAGCTTACTGAGAACTAGTTGATAATTGTAAAGAATGAATTCTTCACTTCTCTCTTTGTACCACTAAAGTGAAAATGATTAAATTTAGTTCTGGCAGAAATTTAGTTTGTAGGCAGTAAGTAGCTATCCACAGATCTACTCTCTTCAATTGGCAAAGTATGAATGACAAATAATATATTTGGTTAGTCATCCCGAATATGCATACAATCCAAAATATTGCAGTAACACTTGTTGCTATAAAAATAGATCAGGTGATTTGTTTAGGTGTGCCTGGGGCCAGGTGCTTATTATGGCAAAGGTGAACATAGGTGCTGGCTAAATGTGATCCAGTGTTTCACAAAAAAGAGAATTGTTTGCAAAGGAGGAGGTGGTAACATATAAAGCATACTTATAGATGAATTTGCCTCCCTTTCCTTTGGTGTATCTAATTGGAAAAGTGGCTACTTATAGGAGTTAGGACCAGTGCTGAAAGAGTCTGGAAAAATTCAATACTTAATTATTTTTCTTTTCCATACCATATTCATCTAGGTAATTAAGCACACCAACATAATTTAGGTCAGCTATGCAATGAATTGTTTGTTTTGTTAGAAGCCAAGTGTGTTCAGCTATGGATCAATATGAAGCAAGATTGTGTTGGCATAGTCATGTGACTTGCTTTGGTAGTCAAAAACTTTGTTTAGTTGACTAATTACTTTGGTAACGATCTTCCTTTTATGAATGGGAAGTAATTCTATAAATTACAGACAATGCTCAATTTTTTTAGCTAAAGTATAACAATTGGCAGCATCAGGATGGATGGTGAAGAGATTGAGATTGTACACAGCTTTAGTTTGCTTGGCTCCACAGTCAACAGTCTTGGCACCAGCAGCCAGGAAATTAAAAGGCGCATTGCCATGGGAAAGTCTGCTGTTAGGGACCTCTCCAAAGTACTGAAGAGCAATGGTGTCTCCCTGGAGACTAAGGTGCGTCTGATACAGGCCATGGTCTTCACAATCACTTGTTATGCATCGGAGAGTTGGACAATGACCAAGGAGGATAGAAGGAGAATTGATGCCTTTGAGCTGTGGTGCTGGAGAAGAGTATTGAATGTACCTTGGACTGCTAGGAAAACAAACAGATTTGTCCTGGAAAGGGTTAAACCGGGTGGCTCCTTGGAGGCAAGGATTCTGAGGCTCCGTCTAACATACTTTGGACATGTTGTGAGGAGAGACCGGTCCTTGGAGAGGGACATCATGCTTGGGAGGGTGGAGGGATGGCGCAGAAGGGGAAGACCCTCTATGAGGTAGATTGATTCAGTGACTGGGGTAATTGGGATAGGAGTGTCAGAGACAGTGCGATTGGCACAGGACAGAACAGAGTTTAGGGATGTTGTACATAGGGTTGCTATGAGTAGCAAGCGACTCGACGGCACATAACAACAACAACAACAAAGTATAACAGGATAACTCTGACCCCAAATATGAAAGAGAAGAAGACCCTAACAAGATGGATTGACACAGTGATGCCAGAGGTGGGCTTGAGGATGACGAAGGCGGTAGAGGATACGATAGTTGTTCCTTGGGTCATCATGAGTTGTACTCGACAGCCTCCAACAACAATAGTGGGAAGTTGGAGCTCCTAGATTTTGTACAACTGTCAATGTACTTGGGTGCTAAGCGAAAGGTTGGAGGTGCCTGGGAAAAAAGGTCTGATGATCTATTTCTGAAAGTCAAAAAGAATATAAAGAAAGAGCCTTCTGAAGTTTTCAGAGTAAGACCAGAAAAGTTAATGCAGAAAAGGAGAGAAAAAGGAAAAAGGAAACTTGATCAGCAAACAGTAAGCATAAAATAAGTCTATACTGCCATGAGCCTGTGCAAGTGTGACCAAAGAGAACAGACATGAACAAGTCATATCATAAAAGCAAAAGTCTTGAGGACTTAAAAAAAATTCTTCTTTTTAAAAATAGTTAAAGTTATATAATATAGAAAGCAAGAAGATTTTTAAAAAAATTAAGAAGTCCTTAAAATATGTAAGGAGGTAGAATTTGCCCTTCTAGAGGGTGAAACCAAGTTTCTCCTTGGAGGCTAGGATTTTGAAGCTCTGTCTCACATAATTTGGGCACATGGCCAGGAGGGACCAATCCTTGGAGAAGGACATCATTCTCGGAAGGGTAGTGCAACAGCGCAGGAGAAGACGACCTCAGATGAGATGGATTGATACAGTAACTGGGGCAATGAGGATTGGTGTGTTGGAGTCAGTGAGACTGGCTCAGGACAGAGCTGTTGTACACAGAGGGCACTACAGGTCACAGGTCACTTGATGGCATATAGCAACAACAACAACAAAGAAATCCCTTGATTGATGGCTCAGAGGCCAAGGTTGACTTTACCATCAATGACCTTCAAGATCTGACTTGTCCCTGTGTCAGTTATTGACACATCTATATTTCATTAAGAATGATGTTGGAGTCCTTTGCTACTCCTGATCATGGCCAATGAGACAAAACAGTGAAGGAGATAGGATGGCTTTTGTCTCACTTCCACCCACTTCTCTCTGTGCCTTTTCATCACACAGTGATGTTCTCACTAGAGCTCTCGCTACTTTTGCTATCATTCACCATCCACTACCCTAGCTAAACATTTCTCTTCTAGGCTTCATTTGCTGTTGTCACTCTGCTTTTAAAAAAAAGCAGCTAATCATCTACTAAGCTGATTGGCTCAAAGGTAAAAAGTATCTGTAAAATAAATGTGCAGAATGATGGAACATTGCCATAGAAGTATTTTCCTCCTTTGCTACACGTATTTCATGTCTCTGTAAGTAGTATCAGGTACTATTCCAAGGGCTGGACGATAGTATGTGACCTCTAACATCTTACTGCCTAGTGAATGCAGGAGGCTAGTAAACAGATAATTACAATACTGTGTAGGACTTGCCCAAGTATAATCCTGCTCTGATTGCTATGGGAACCCTCAAACAGGATACCTTACACAGCCTAAGGGTGGGGAGGAGAGAGGGAGAATGTCTACAGAGGACTCCAAGAGCAATGCATGCCTAAACTGAGCCCTGAAACATGAAATTGAGTTAGTCAATGAAAGGAGTCGAGAGTAAGAAATGTTCCAGAAAAAGAAAATAGCGTGTGCGAAGGTCGAGAAGCATGAGAGTGTGATATGTTCTGGGACATCAACAATGATGTCCATTGCATTGATTAATTAGCGTGGAGGGCCAGAAACCACAAAACTATCTTAGGATAATAGGCTTGTTGAAAAGTTGTTGTCTTTGTCTCTGTATACACATGTATGTGTTATCTTCTTAGACATACTATCTACGACCCTGTCAATATCTGGTAAGATTTGAAAGAGAACCTTTAAGACAGTTCCCTGGAGATTGCGTGGGTGAGACTACCACAAGCCCTTTACAATCTTACCTGGTTTATAACCTAGTCTGGGGACAAATGGCCTTAGGTGGATTTCAAAGGCCCCACTCTTTGATAGTTAGATGGGGAACTGAAGGGCATCCATCATAGGACCCAGTTGTAGATGTTGAATGCTTTGTTCAGGGGGTTGTCATGGAATTATAATGCTTATCATTTAGGCCTGAAGATCCTTGAATAAATAAAGTGAATCCCTTCATTTATCATCCCCAGCAGTTGGTGGATCATTTGGGTCTGTGCTGGAACATCTCCTGTAATCATGTACTGTGGCATTTGATTTCATATTTATCTAATTTCAGCTATAAGAAGTTATTTCCTATATAGAATGTCTTTGATTCTCTATAGTACTAATTCTGCTTTTGAGCTATGCAAAGATATGTGCAATGAATAGTGACTAAGAACATAATAAGCCCATGAGTTAAAGTGCTTAGGCAGTTAGCTTTAAAAGCAGCTAACTCTGTGACCTTGGACTGGTCCTATCTCCTTTCTGTGCCTCAGTTTACATATCTGTAAGATGGGCAACCTTAGGGCTCTTATTCCATAAGAACAAATAATGAATGTATGTGAACTGCTTACACATAGTGCCTACTGAATGTAAACCATCATGGTGACGGTTGTTAAATACAATTGGTAGTATTCTTCAGAGCAGTCCTTTCAATATTTTAAAAATCTCATGCTCCCAAGATTTCCTCTCTTCTTTCACAAACATGCTGACTGTGTGTTCCCCTCCTGTACCTACCTCGATGCTAACTTTCCTCATCAGCTGCACACTGTTGTCTTGAATCAGTTTTAATGCTAGTGCAGAGAACTTGAGCATGAGTTTCCATTTGTTGTGTGACCAGCAGCAGAAGACAAAGAGAGGCTTATTTTTGTGTCTCCTTATTGAAGTCCAAGATCACATCAATTTCACGACAACACACCACACAGGCCACCTAGTGAACTTACAGCCTGTTTCTCTTGTGTTGCTCTGGGACCCAGTATTACTTAATGAAGATGGTGACAATCTAGGTAAGGACATAGAACACACTCATATAACATCTGCACTGAAAGATGACTTTGATGAAGACCTTGAAGATGATCAGCAGAGAGCTATGTAAGATTATTTGGCTGGGCTGCTAGAAAGAAGAAAAGCACTTATCCAGAATTCCAGTGGGAAGGGTATTACTGCTCTAAGCTATCATCACTTCGATGACCATTAACAGCTGCAATAAGGCAAGGGGAAGAATCTGAGACTGCAGGACTGCACACTGCTCAGGATTTGCCTCAACGATGTCTTAAAATTCCTGGGTCTGTGATCAAGGGCAATCACTGAGAACTTGGGAGAACTTGAATAAGGGAAGCTGTGAAATGGGTTTAAGGACCTTTGATCTACAGAGGAGAATGTGTGCTCAGTGGCATGTGTGTTGTGGCCATTGATTCCAACTCACAGCAATTCGACAAGACAGGAGAGAACCGTCCCATAAGATTTTTAGACCAAACTCCCCTGGAAAAGATAATGAGGTCTTTTCTCCCAAAGGAAAGTCTGCTAGATTAGAACCACTGATCTTTTCAGTTAGCTGAGTTCTTAACCACAGTGTCACCGGGACTCCTTCTGATATGTAAAGATAGTTAATAATCAGCTTTGGATTTGGGCTCAGCTTTAATTACAACCTTCTAGAAGGAAGGTCTAGCTTTTGGGGTCAGAATACTGAACTACAATCCTGGCTCTGTTACCAACACTTGCTTAACCTCTTGAAACCAGTTTCCTCATCTGTAAAAAGGAGGTTAAAAAATTGTTATTGCCTCACAGAACTGTTGTGAGGCCTTGGTGAGATAATGTGTTATGATTTTAGCACCCCGCCAGGCCAATAATCAGGTTACTCCATGTGTGTCTGTTGGTCTTAGCCTTTCCTCCTGGAAAAGGTCAAATTGGGGTCTAATGAACTGAGGGTGGATGAAAGTGAGACTTTGATTTTACTTTAAACACTGAAGTGTGGAGCTGAAGGGTATGGTGAAATCATGTGTGTAAATATTTGGTAATAAGGAACTATAAGCAGGTGCCATTGAGTGCAGTGATGATGGTTCCATTGAAATATAGAAACAGACTCAATTCATGTGTTCCAAACATGTTACAAAAAGAGGTCTCCAGCTGCTGAAAGAGAGACACCTCTTGAAAGGAGGTCATATTTCAAACAAGTCTAGATGACAGTCTGAATTTATTTCTCTTCCCTCCATGGTCCGGCACAAGGCCCCATGCAGAGAAAGACCTCAGTAAATATTTAATTTCTTAACTCACTGATGCTACACTTCTAAGTAAGAAAGATATTCTCTACTTCATTTCCTGACTAACAGGGAGAGCATCTGTTTGTGAATGTGTAGCTAAAATTAGCAGTAGAGGGAACTGAATGAATAAGCCTTACTGACATTAGAAAGATTCCCAGAACTGTGGCCAGAGTGGAGGGCTTGATTGGTCTGCGTATGAGTCAATATTCGCTCCTTTCTCATGTGCTGAATTTAGGAGTTTGTCACTCTCCCCATGAGCCTCAGTTGTGTGTGAAATAATGCAGTGTCATTTTGACAGTTTTGTAATTCCTGTTATAATCTAAAGCCAAAATATTACTAAATACACTTAAGGAAAACTGGAGTTTTTAGATTGTTTTTGGATCACATGGGATATTGCCCATCTTTGCAGCTTTCTCCCATGGGCCCATGGGTGAATTTGGACTGTCCAAGCAGTGCCATCTTTGGGTTAACAGTATCCCATTCTACAGAGTTAGAATTCTTTCAGAGCTCCCTAGTTATGTGAGTGTTGGTTTGGCTTTGTTTTTTTTTCCTTTGAAAGGAGGCTTCTAACATTTCTTCAAATCATACATCCTGAGACTAGCATGTTAATCAGGAGGCCTCGCTGAAGCAGTTAGACCTTCAGCTGCTAATCTACTCAGAAATGAAAGAAAGCCTTGCCAATCTGCTTCTGAAAGCTCACAGTCAAGAAAACATGAATTCTCTGTCATCAGAATAAGCAATACAGGAACTGGTTTACCATAATAACATTTTTCAATTCCCTCCCTTTTTTTTCTGTTTTAAGAATTGAGATACAACTTCTATCCAGTAAAAGATACATCTTTTTTAAAATTTTTTTTTTAAATTATTTTCTCTCTGTGTGTACTGTCAAATTGGATCTGACTGGTGCAGGAGGAGATGGCCCCTCCTTCTCCAGCAGAGCATCTGGTGGATTTGAACCATATATCTGTGGGATTGCAGTGCAGCTTCTTGCCACTAGGCCACCAGAGCTCCCCTTAAAATATACATCTTTAATGTCTGAGCTGAGTTTTGAGACGTGCACACACCCTGGCAACCTCATTGCTATGGAAAGCGATCTCTTTGAATTCTCAATCTGACTAGTTAGTTTTGCAGCCTCTTCATTGGAGGTATTCAATTGCTCATGACCTCTCAGTGTCAGGTCATGGATTATCTCTACCTTGTCTGTGGTCACAAAAACACAATGCCTAATACATACTGTGCACTCAATGAATGTGAAGGGAGTGAGCAGATGGAGAATAATCCTGCCCTTCAAATCTGCAGTATTGTCAGTGCATAGCTCTGGCATTGTTTCCCCAAAACGTTCCATACTCACCAGTTCGTTTACACGCTCTCCGTCTGCATCATGTGTGAGTAATAGCTATGTGGCCCGACAGGTTAGCACATTTAATGAGAAACGAATCAACCTGCAGGCACAGTTTATGTTTACGCAATATTTACCTTCAACCTTTTGATCACAGCAGCCACGCTCCTCAGATAAATAACTTTTAGAGTTCTTCTCGGCAGTTACTCATGTGTTGATGGCAATATGATCAGGTCTGACCACAGACCTGTTTCTGTGACATGCTTTCTCTGTCTTGCTGAAGCTTCAAATATAGTGTCTGTGCATTACTATGAGAAGGAGTCCGGGTGGCACAGTGGCCATAGTGCCCAGCTGCTAACTGAAAGATTAATGGTTTGAATCTACCAGCCACTCTTCAGGAAGAAGATGGGGCAAGCTATTTGTAGAAAAGATCTGTGACCCCTCAGGCAGTTCTGTTCTGTAAGTTCACCATGAGTTGTAATTGTCTCACAACAATGAGTTTGGTGTTATTTTGGACTGTGTTATGATGGCGGGAACGCTGGTGGAATAGCCTGTAGGACGTTGTGCTGCTGACATAAAGACTATTATGCTTTTGGAATTCTGAATCTACCAGTCACTCTGTAGGAGAAAGATGGGTAATCTCCTCCTGTATGATTTACAGCCTCTGCAGCCTGTGTGGAGGGTGAGCTATGAGTTGGTTCCAATTCCACAGCAATGAGTATGAGAGTTTGTTTTGGGGTTATTATTATTATTATTATTATGACACAATGACACTTATTTCAATTACTGTCTGCAGAACACACCTAAAAGATCCAGTTTCCAACATGTGGGTCAGAACTATAGTGGCAAAGCCTATGTGTTACTAATCCAAAATCCACACATCTCTCTGGTCACTTGAATCCACTAGCAGCTCTGAGGGATGAGGATGGACAGTATCCTCCCACGTAGTTTACTGCCTGCCAAGCTCAGTGGAGGGTCAGCTATGAGTCCGTTCCAACTCTACGGCAAGGAATGAGCAAGTGTGTGAGCCTCAGAAAAAGATAGTTTTGCTGCTACTCTCACCCTCCCCCATTTTTGCTTTGTTGTAGGTCATCACTCCCCAGAATGGACGGTATCAAATCGATTCTGATGTGCTTCTGATTCCTTGGAAGCTGACTTACAGGAACATCGGCTCTGATTTTATTCCTCGAGGGGCCTTTGGGAAAGTATACTTAGCTCAAGATATAAAGACTAAGAAGAGAATGGCCTGTAAACTGGTAAGTACTTACAGCTCGGCAGTGGGCATTGGCTGTTTGGCACTATGAGTTTTACTTGTTTATTTACATTATCAAATGTCTATCCTTTGATTGGATCTCATCTCGGAGTACGCTTTGCAAAAGAGTATGCTTCAGGGGCTACCTACTGCTATTCCATCCCTGGAAGTGACCATATGATCCCACTCGTGGTGACTCATACCTCATGGTGGAACTATACTTACAGGGTTTTCAGTGGCTAATTTTTTGGAAATTATTGTTATGTGCCTCTGAGTCACCTACAATTCATAGCAACCCTATGTACAACAGCTTTGAACTCTGCTCTACTCTGTGCCAAACTTACTCTCTCTGACATACCTATCCTCGTTACCCCAGTCACTGAGTCAATCCATCTACTCGAGGGTCTTCCTCTCTTGTCTTGTCCCTCCACCCTCCCAAGCTTAATGTCTTTCTCTAAGGACTGGTCCCTCCTTGCAACATACCGAAGTATGTCAGATGAAGCCTCAGAATCCTTGCCTCCAAGGAACAGCCTGGTTTCACCCTTTCCAGGATGAACCTGTTTGCTCTAGCAGTCCATGGTATATTCAATACTCTTCTCCAGCACCACAACTCAAAGGCATCAATTCTCAATTCTCCTTCTATCATCTCTAGTCATTGTCCAGCTCTCTGATGTATAGCATGTAATTGTGAAAAACATGGCCTGAATTTAAAAAAAAAAAAAGTCCAGCCTTTTGGTTAGCACCTGAGCTTTTGTTTATATCACTCAGGGGCCCCATTATTTCTCTAAATCTCTGCTTAAGAATGCAGCTGATTTTAATCTAGCACAGCCATGATAAAAGAGAAAGTGCTAGTTTATTTAGGACCATCTTGGACAAAGCCATCACTCCTGGGATAGGATGCAGGAGAGTTAACATAAAATAGCAGAGCATATCCATTTACTACTTCTTTATTCACACCCCCATCATGGAGGTCAGATTGTTAAAATCACAATAAAAAGAAAAAAAACAAAAAAACCCACCCAAACACACAAACAAAAGGAAAGCAGAAGCTATGACAATACTGTAAGTCTTCTTAATACTTCAGATTTAAAGGAATGACTTTAAATATGCCAGTTATTGAAAGACTCCATCTATTCTTACTAAAAAATTATTGCTAAGAACCACTTACTCTGAAATTTGGTATTTACCCAGTTGAATATGCTCCATGCCTCAGCAATTCCACTCTTGTAAGAATACGCCCAATAGAAATGAATGCATATGTTTACCAAGAGCTGTGTATTAGAATAAGGAGTCCTAGTAGTGCGAGGTTTAATGCTTAGCTTGACTTGGCTGAAAGATCAATGGTTTTGCAGCCAATCTGCATTTGATTCTACAGCCACTTTGCAGCAATATCTGTCCCTAAAGATTTATAGCTCTAGTTCTTTTGCCTTGAGACCAGAAAATCTGGATCATGCCTGGCAACCACTGGTAAAAATTTTTAAAAAAAAAAATTCCATGAAAGAATTCTTGATCAAAAGGGGGAAAATGTAGAGCAGAAGTAAAAAGTCTCATGTATTCTCGACTTGATGGTACCTTAAAAATTATTGCCCTGAGAATATTTAAACTCTAATTCAAAATTACCCCCTAAAGTCTTAAAACCAAATAATAGTTTAACATAACTAGTTAAAAAGGGTCTGCGTTAAATATTACATTCTTTTAGGAACTGTCTATAGAGGATCAGACTGATAACAGCAACTTAAAAGAATAGATGGGAACTTTAGGGGGCACTGATTTTCTTCTAATGAATGAGAAGTAGCTTAGAAAAGTAGGGTAAAATGGTTGCACAACTTGAAGAATATAATCAATGCCACTAAATTTTATGTGCAGAAATTTGAATTTCTGTATGTTCTGTTTGTGTATTCTCAACAACAAACTAAAAATAATTTCAAGATAAAAGCCACATCATGGCATTTCAAATCCTGTGGTGCGATCCTACTTCCTGCTGTAGGGCTGCTACAAGTCAGCATCAATCGGACAGTAATGGGTGCATTTGGGATGTGCAGGAATATTCAACATATTTTCAAGAGCTCCAAACTGACGACTTCCCAGATGCTGCTATGTGGTGTATTTGTACAGGGGTGTATGTAGTGAAGCAAAGAGAGTGAGTGTCTTATACCTTTAATAGTGGGAATATCATAACCATAATATTGAGCCAAAGAAATCAGACACAAAATATACCTACTATGTTGTTGTTGTTGTTGTTGTTAGATGCTTGTCAAGTTGACTCTTAGAGCAACTTTATACAACAAATCTGAATCTTACCCTATCCTGTGCCATCCTCATGACCTCTAACATGCTCAAGCCCATTGTTACATAGGCTTTAATAGATATGGTACAAAAGTAAGCAAAATGAATTCATGCTATTAGAAGTCAGCACAATGTGCAACCCTTGGGCAGTAGGGACTGGAAAATGTCAAAAGGGCCATTTCTGAGGTGCTGATGCAAATCCACTTTCTAATCTAGATAGTAATTTACATATGAGTTCAGTTGATAATCTGAGGCTTACACATGCATTTTTATACTTTTATGTGTGTCTACTTCAATTTAACATGTTTAAAAGTGCAAAAAAAAAGCAGCCCACTTTTGATTTGACAAAGCAGTAATTGCTGTCATTCTCTCATATAAGTTAGTTTAGACATGATGGTACATACAACAACATATGTGTATCACTTTAATGTTTGGGTTTTTTTATAAGTGAGAACATGGAATATGGACCTCTCTGTATTTTACTTTTTGTCACTATATATTAGACACATTTGCATGTCTATTTGCACTTAAAGACCTACTTCTGTCTTTATTAATAACTATTTGGTATACATACCATAATATGGATGGCCCATATTTATTTAAATGCAATGTTAAAGCACTTACTGTGGAACCAAGGGGTTTATTGATGGTGTTTCGTAACAAATTGAAATAATCACAATATAAATTGTCTCTATTTTTTTGATTCTGTCATTAAAATCTTTAAAACTTTGACCGGATTTTGACACCAGGACGAGATGGATTGACTCAATGACTGGAGAAATGGGATTAGGTCTGTTGGAGAGATGATGAGATTGGCTCAGGATAGAGCTGGGTTCAGAGCTAATGCACATAGGGTTGCTATGAGTTGCAGGTGACTCGATGGCACATAACAACAACAACATAAAAAATAGAGAGGACTAGCAAAAGAGTGGAAGACCCTTAATGAGATGGGTTGACACAATGACTGGAAGAATCCACTGGAGGGTGGGGAGATTGTGAGGAAGGCAAGGTTCACAGGGTCACCATGAGTTGTAGTCTCAGTGGCACCCAACAATAATGATAAAAGAAAATTTTACTGTTAAAAAATATTTTTGTTTTCTTACTTTGAATTTTGTACCTATAACTGACATGATAGAAAATCAGGTCTGAGGCAGATATTTTTAAAAATTCTGTAGAAGAAGTGCATATAAATCAGTGTATCCTTGAGCACATTTAGGTGCCTTCTGATTTGTGGGTTCATCTACATTCTCTGTTTCCCATTATCCTGAGCTTGTTCAGAACCTTCCGCATGTTTTTCTGTTCCAGATCCCAGTGGATCAGTTTAAGCCCTCCGACGTTGAGATCCAGGCTTGCTTCCGGCATGAAAACATCGCTGAGCTGTATGGGGCTGTCCTGTGGGGTGACACTGTCCACCTCTTTATGGAGGCAGGCGAGGGAGGGTCTGTACTGGAGAAGCTGGAGAGCTGTGGACCCATGAGAGAATTTGAAATTATTTGGGTGACAAAGCATGTTCTCAAGGGACTTGATTTTCTCCACTCGAAGAAAGTAATTCATCATGATATCAAACGTGAGTTGTCTTTGGATGAACACCTCGTTGGTTTAAACATACTAGTTCAGTGGGAGGAAAACAAGCTTAGCTAGGAGGCAAATGGGTTCCTCCCTTCAGTTTGTGAACCTTGGGTGGCGGAGGTAGCCCTTCCTGGGGAAGATGTTCCACCTTCTCCCCTGTGCTCCTGAAACGTGTTTAAGAAGCAGGATGTAAAAAAAAAAAAAAGAAGCAAGATGTGTCTTTCTTTGGACCTCTAAGGCATAAAGAGAGGTGATGACGCATTGTCAGGAGGACAGAGCTCATCTGCTAAATATTACCAGTGCTTTTAAATTTAAATATATCTATATACACTCGGTCATATACTTCTGATAAATAAATAGCTTTTTAATTTGGAAAATCAACTTGGCAGGAGTCCATGAAAAAAGCCTTGGCTGTTTACTTTCTAGGAGTGACAACATATGGTGAGGAAATATTCAAGAGAGACCCAGTAGAACTCCTAATTAGTATAGCTAAATTGGACTGGCCAAACATTCACTTAAAACTAATAAGACTCCCAGATGCTTTGTTTTAGAAGAGTGGCTTGATAACAGTATTCTTACATCTTAGAATTTTATATTCAAGCCTGTGAGATTAATTAATAGGTCCCACCCTTTATATCCACATTGGCTCAATCCTTGCAAATTGATTTTCACCTGGCTGATACTCATTGTCGACTCTTGAATATAATACACTCATCTCAAACATGCCAAGTCTCTTCATTTGGAGTTCAGGTGCTGTTCTAGATAACGTTTTCACCTTATTTCTGTGTATGTATGCAGTTTTATGCTGAGATAAAATGTTTCCTTCTCCTTAACAGCGAGCAACATTGTTTTTATGTCCACAAAAGCTGTTCTGGTGGATTTTGGCCTAAGTGTACAAATGACTGAGGATATCTATCTTCCAAAGGATCTCCGAGGAACAGAGGTAATGATGGTCACATGAATTATATGGTAGTAATTATTTTTAATTATATTTGAAAATGTTATTATGCATTTTTAAATAAGTGGTTCTACAGTGACTATGGAAAAGGTCAAAGGGGGGAGGGAGAGCAATGGTGAAATCATTGTTGTCATCGTTAGCGTATTTAATGAGCACTTGCTAGGTGCCAAGTTCTGAGTCTGGCACTAAGGGTGTGCTATTTTATTCAATCCTCATAATCTATTGTGGGTTAATACTCTTGTTGTAGACAAATACAGTTATTTCTCCAATTTTATACAAAAGAAATGAGCTTGGAGAGACTAAAATTTACTGCCCAAAGTTACTCATACTCTTCTGGCATTTGAATCTAGTTCTAAGTCTAAATAAAATCTGAATGCTATGTTACTTTAAAAGAAAAAAATCACTATTACCAAAGTAGGGAGCCTAAGTGGCATTGTTGTTGTGTACTGTTGAGTCAGAACCGATCCATAGCTAACCTTCTGGTGGGTTTTCACAGGTAGTTAATCACACGGGAGGAGAATGCTCATCTCCAGCTGGTGGATTCGAACTGCATGCCTTCATGATTGCAACATAGCTTTTTACCACTAGGCCACCAGAGCTAATCAAAAGTCAAGAGTTCAAATCCACCAGTGGCTCCACAGGAGAAAGATGAACAGTCTCTTCCCATAAGAGTGTAAATCTTCAGATCCAAGGCAGGGTTAGTATGAGTTGGAGTTGACACAGTGATAGTGGGTTTGGTTCAGGTCATTAGTAAGAGAACGGATATAACTAAGTTTTGGCCTCATTGTGCTCTTGATTATAGAACTCTGGGGTTCTAGTCGATAGCGAGTTGTGCTGCTAATCCAAAGGTCGTTCCTCTTTGTCAGTTCAAATCCACCAGTGGCTCCAAGAGAGTAATGTGAACAATCTTCTTTCCTGCAATTTACAGCCACAAAAACCTAATGGAGGGTCAGGTGTTGAGTCAGTTTTAACTAGATGGCAATGCGGTTGGGATTTTCACATTATATTCTTGATTACCAGGGTCATTGATAATATGTCATGAAGACCTACAATAGTTGAGGTGAATATTTAATTCCAGAGATACTGTAATAAACCTCAGCTAGTGAGCACTAAAAATCAACTAATTATATTATTTGTTTGTGAAGCAAGACCAAGCAGAAAGCTATTTGTGAATCTAAATGGAATTAAGACCAAAACATTCATACAATGTATTAGCATTCACTTTATCAGGCAAAATAATAAATTGACTTAGCGTCTGTTTGCTGAGCATCTACTACCTGGCCAAGTCTGTGGTGGGTCCCGGGAATAAAGCCCTGAACAGAACAAGGACTGCACTCTCTGTGGTCTTTTAAACAGTGATGATTTAGAGGTCCTCCTTGCTGGTGGAGAGGATCTACTTTAAATTTATGCAAAGTGTTAAAACATCCACTGCTTATTTCCTAGTTGATTATGCAACTAGGTTGGTTAGGGTTGGATGCAAATGAGAAGGTAAACTCACTGATTTTGAGTCTACTCTATCACATAGAGCTGTCCACAGAATTTCCAAGTGTGTTCATCTTTATAGAAGCAGACTGCCTTATCTTTCTCTCATGGAGTAACTGGTGGCTTTGAACCATAGACCTTGTAGTTAGCAGCTAACCACTTAGGGAAAGCAAATGGATGTGACAATTGCTTCTGTACTCCATGGGATGCTTCACTCTCAGAGAATCCTAGATTTTCTCTTTGTTGGCTGTGCATACGGAAAATGAGAGGAACTCCGGTTGTGTAGTCTTTAGCACGTTGTACTGTTAACCAAAGGGCCCTGCGGATGGCTTGAATCCACCACCCACTCTTCAAGAGTGATATGGGCAATCTTTGCCTGTCCAGATTTATGGCTTTGGAAACCTGGTGGAGGGTCACTATGAGTTAGAATCAACTTGATGGTACTGAGTTTTATTGGAAATGAAGGGAGGTACATAGTTACACGTCTTGCTCAAGATTGTCAAATCAGTCTTGGTGTTCAACTAAATGATGTTTCTCCATCTAGGTAGACTTTGTGTTGCACTGAAATGATGTTAAAAAAATCACCTTTATTTCAAACCAGTATTTTTTAAGCTTTTCTTAAAACTGTCAAAGAAGACTCTTTAAGCATCGGAAGAAATCTTTGTTTTTGTTGAGATTACTTCAAATTATTACTGGAAAATATATGAGAGAGGATTCTTGATAGCTGCCTTTGAACAGAATAATAAGTCAGAAAACAAAGTTATATAGACTTTTAAAAAAAGAATGTTTTTGTCTTCTGGTCTTAAGAATACCTTGCCAAAGCACAAAAATCTAATACGACTTAATACTTATGGCATGCTTTCCTTGGAAAATGCTTCAGCATATTCTGGCATTAGGCAGGAGTTTAGATATGCGACATTCCATGTTTTTTTCTTGGAGCTGGTTTGAGAAGCAAACTATTTATGGTATTAAATATGGAAAATACCTTTCCCTTCCTGGCAGCACGATTCGGTTGAACATTTTGCAATGCTGGAGAAGAACACAGCTTTTCTGAGAGTCTTTAGAAGAAAGACATTGTATGATCAGGTGTGAGATGATTAAAGGACTGTGGAATATTTAGATCAAGTTTTTTCAGCAGATGTAAATTGATTTTTTGTGAACTGGTCAAACTAACTTCTAAGACTTTTTTATAGTTATAAGCTTTCCTCAAACTAGCCTGTGGTCACTCTGTTTAGTATGCACTAATTGAAGTGGGATAATAAACAAAGTTGTCATGACTTTCAATAATTTCTGCTTTTACCCAAGATACTTAAAAAGCCACTAAAATGAGTCCAAGTCAGTGCTTTTAAATTTTCCCCCCATTACGAATTATCACTTGGCTATTACACAGACATTGAGGATTCCAGAATCCAGCAGTGTAGCTCATGTGAACTAATACTTAACCCCACCACGCTTCTTGTTCTCTATCTCCACATATATACAGGGACCTTGTATTGTAAGCATGTAAACAAGCATAAAGTTAATATGATGTATACTTAATCTATATAATTTTAAGTTGCATGGTATATAGTATAAATAATGAATACCAATAAATAATTAGAATGATCTTTTTTTTAGTGAGGCCTTATAAAAAGGTCTTGTTTTCTTCAGTGTCTGTTTGACCTTTTTTTACTTAACTCGTAATGGTATCATATGCACATGTAATGGTCTCACATGCATACATACATGTACACGTGTGCTTATGTACACACACACACACACACACGTACACATACACAAGTATGCACAATTTCTTCCTCTTTCTGATAAGCTCGCTGGCAGATGAAGGTCTGGACCAGATGGTTCCTCTACTTCAGGGAGTGAACTGTCACTCTATCTGTCCCATGAGTCCTGACTCTGACCTTAGAGTCCTTGAACCTCATTCTCTGCTGCCTTCTGCTCTGATTGTCCAGACTCTTGTAAAGTTTGGGGAAGCAGATCCGTGAAAAGTAGAGCGTCTACCTGAAGGTCACCATACTGAACAGGGTGCTGCCACTCACAGTGCAGCCTAAATGTGCAGACACCTCCAGCATCCCCTCTGCTCAGCTGCTACCAGTGGCACCTCCACTATATGCTTGCCTTAACCCTGCTTTCTTGGTGTGCTGGGAAGGAAATAGGTGGTTTTAATTGACAGCTAATAATAACCACTGCATTTATTTTCTACCTTTGGAATCGTATTTCATAACAAAGTCCTCAGAATCCAAGTAATCTATCTTTTTCTGCAGAGAACGCTTGGGGCCAGGAAATCTGGTTAAGCTTTTGCAATGAGAGAGAAAGAGAAAGCATGTGTAAGCAAGGGAGAGGGAGCTTGGCCAGGAGAATGGGCCAGACAGGAAGGGTGCTGTAGGAAGGAGCCGGACAGGGTAAGCATGAGGAAACTCGGCAGTTTCCCCACTTTTTGCAAGCCAGTTTTTCAGTTAGTTACTCTGTAATATATTCCAGGAAGACTAATGCCCTCAAATGACACAGATGATAGAAAGCCACATGTTGTTAATTTGAATTTAGCTACTCCACGTCTCTTAACAGCTGTAAGAGCACCACACACGGTTCACTGGCCACCCCTCATATTTTAACTCCTTTCTCTTTCTCTTTTAAGTCAGAAGCAAAAGTGTATGAGATAAACTATAAAACTAGGCTAACTTATTCAGCATCTACTAATACAATCAAACACTTCTTTTACACTCTTAATGTGGCAGGTATTTACTACTTAATCCCCAAGCAACGTGATAGGTAGAAAGAAGTAGTTTTTAGAAATGACTAATAGGGATCACTTTGACAACACTGTACTTTTACCTTTAAAGTTCTTATCTCCTAAGTGATTGGTAAGAATGTTCCCTAGACTTCTCTCCCTCCCGATGAAACATGAAACTAACTGATGTTTTAATAGAAAAAAATGAACCAACTCAGATCTGTACTTTAATCCCCAGGTGGGTTCTTGCTTCTGTTGCCTGATCAACTGTGTGCTCAGTTTGTGGAGTAAAAAGTCTCTGATGCCAGACTGTTCTGATACCTTCAGCCAAAGTGATGTGGCTGCTAGATAATGCCTGCATTATTCTCCTTAGCTTAAGGGTACACAACACTGCCAGCGATGAAGTAGTTCAGATGCAATAACGACCTTAAACTTGGCTGAGCCAATTTCTCACAATGAATTAGGGAAATGGAAAAATGAAACAAAGGAAAGGATTCAGCCTGACTTTTCCCCCCTCACTTTTCAGATTTACATGAGCCCAGAGGTGATTCTGTGCAGGGGCCATTCAACCAAAGCAGACATCTACAGCCTGGGGGCCATGCTCATCCACATGCAGACGGGCACCCCGCCCTGGGTGAAGCGCTACCCTCGCTCGGCCTATCCCTCGTACCTGTACATTGTAAGTAGGAGCAGTCCAGTTGTGGGGCTAGAAGGGGGAATGCCACCTGGGCAGAGGGACATCCTGTAACATCTTTACCTAAACGGGATTATAATGAACTGGTGTTCCATGAGAGAAACAACCATGAGTCCTTCCCATGGGGAGAGACGCCTCATTGTTAAAAGGAAGACATTGCTATTTAAGTGGGAATCTGAAGGTGCATTGTTGTGGTTGTGTACCATTGAGTCGGAACCAGCCCATAGCTGACACTCTGGCAGGTTTTCAGAGGCAGTTAATTGCACAGGAGAAGATTGCCCATCCTTTTCCTGTGAAGCAGCTGGAGGATTTGAACCACGTGCCTTCAGGATTGCAGCACAGATTCTTACCACTAGGCAACCAGAGCTCCCTGAGATTGGATGAGGCATAAATAAATGATACACTATTCCATTATGACCAATTACCAATTATGTTATTGGTCGCAATCTCATGGCATCCTCATGGGTGTCAAGGTAGAACCATGCTCCACAGGCAGTCAGTGGCTGACTTTTCAGAAATAGATACCCAGGCCTTTCTTCTGTGGCACTTCTGGATAGACGAGAATCTCAAACTTGTTAGTGAGCATTTCAGGGTGGTTAACTGTTTGCATTGCCACAAGGTGCCTTAATAACATGGTACTTAATAACATTAGCAAAGCATAACTCTTTGAACCAAGAAAGTTGCAAATGCTCTTAAAAGAAAATACCTTCCGGAAAAAGAAACTTGATTAGGGATCCCTATCTGCCTGACATGTAAAGGGAACATGCAATCTTAATGTAGATATTTCAGAACATGACGATTCTCAGAATATTGTAGAAGTAACTATGGATGTATAATGATATAAAAATAGAAATGATGACTGCCTATCAGAACTTGTTGTCATTGTCGTAAGTTACATAGGAGTCCATCTGGAATCAATGACTCCATGTGGACTTCAAGTGTGCAGAGTAGAATTGATCTGTAGCATTTTCAAGGCTGTAACATTTTGGAAGTACGAGAACTGCCTTCCAAGGTGCTTCTGGGTGGGTTTGAACTGTAAACCTTTTCTGCTAGTCCAGTGCCTAGCCATTTTCACATTTACTTGATGTCCTTAGGAAACCAAAGAGCAGCGTGTCGAAGGGTATATGAACTGGATTTACTCCTGGGTATATAATGGGGAACAAATTACTTTCCAATGTGTTGTTACTAGAATATTTATTTTCCTGTTGAGGATATGTTTCCACATACAGTTAATGCTAAGAGAACTGGTTTTATCAACAGATCCACAAACAGGCACCTCCGCTGGAAGATATCTCTGAAGACTGCAGTCCTGGCATGCGAGAGCTGATAGAGGCAGCCCTCGAGAGAAATCCTAACCACCGTCCCAGGGCTGCAGACCTGCTAAAGCATGAAGCCCTGAACCCCCCCAGAGAGGAGCAGCCGCGCTGTCAGAGTCTGGACTCTGCTCTGTTTGAGCGGAAGAGGCTGCTGAGCAGGAAGGAGCTGGAACTTCCTGAGAACATTACTGGTAGGGGCACCTGCTGTGGGCACCACCCCTTCTCTGTCCTTCTTTTTCTGTCTGCATAAAACATGCAAGACTGGTGAAAGAACTTGGGAGGAAGAAACAAAAGTCATTTCTTGAAAGCCATAAATGCAGACATTTTAGCCGGTACAAGGATTTTTTTTTTTATTGGCAATTTCCCTGAAAATGATAACTGCTTTTCAGAGTGATTGTAGTTCACATTCTCTGGGAAGTGCTTCTGACCTGTGTATTTAGCAGCAGAGAACATCTTTTTGTTTTCACATGTCCACTATGTCGGTCTTGCTTGGCATTAATCATGAGGCTCTGCTAAATACAGTTGGGTAACCATTACTGTCTTTTGCTGTGAACATCATGAGCTGGTTCTGCAGAGAGAAAACATTGAGTTTAAAGTCAACTTAATGTTTCCCTATTTCTCTGCTTGATATCTCATTGCCAACTATGGAGCTTTCTCACTCAGGAGAATTGGCAAGCATTCCAGGACCCTTGAGTATACTTTAAGAGAGGGGCATTGTCACCATAAATATCAGTGACATTTTGTCCTTTTAGATGCAAACCCAGATGTCAAACCTGTAGTTTGCTTGCATTCCACTTCTTGTCTGGCTTTTCTGTATTGAAACAAAACCCTCTAGGATGTTGGAAAATATGCCAGGGCTTCTAAATAATACCTTAAAGCTACTGAGACTGTGGTACAAATCTGCAGTTCTCTAAGATCAGCTTGACTAAACTCATTGGGAGCCGGAATTGACTCAGAGTTGACCTTCCATTGAGTTTCTGAGGCTGTAACTTGCATGGAAGGAGAATGCTTTGTCCTGTCTTCTGAGGAGCTGGCTGGTGGATTTGAACCACCAGCGAGGCGTAGCTTTTGGATTAACAGTGTGCCTCTCTAGAGCCTGTACCAGCATAGCTCCCTGCTCAAAGATGAGTCTTGGATACTACTAGAGCTTAGGAAAAGCTATTGTACTAGGCCCGAATGTAACATCACTTTGAAGGAAGAACAGATATTTAGTCCTGGGCGTGTTCCCTGGTTCATTTATCTTTCACTATTTCCCTTTTTCAGATTCTTCCTGCACAGGAAGCACGGAGGAATCCGAGATGCTAAAGAGACAACGCTCTCTCTACATAGACCTGGGTGCCCTCGCTGGCTATTTCAACCTTGTCCGTGGTCCGCCCACCCTGGAGTACGGCTGATGCCATCGTTGCCTCTGAATGAAGACTCAGCACTTAACTCGTGGAAGCGAGACCTGCTGACTTTCACAGAGGCTCTGGACGGGGGCTTGTGCCACTTGTTAGCTAGTTGCCTGGCTTCTAGGACACGTCAGTGTGAGCTCTGAGCGGCTCCTGTGTACCTGATTTGGGAAGCTGCTCCGCACGCGCTCCTCTACAGGTTCTCATTTCTCAGGGAGTCTAACAAAGGAAAGATGGGAAACGTTCGTAGAAGGATCGTTTTCTGGTGACTGATTCCACTCACTTTGCACTTTGCTGGAGTTTTTCCATCACAAGGATAATATGTTAGCCTAAAATTACTATTCTTGGTTTTAATTTAAGTATGGGATTGTTGTTTAACTCTGAATCCTTGTTTGGTGTAAATATTGTATCATACCTCTTTGAACCTTTTTCAGTAAATTCTAGTGTAAATCAGATTATTCATTTTATTTTATGTAAATAAAATTACATGAAAATTGGGGTAATAAGCTGAATTCGTGTCTTAAAAAAATGGCTTATTGGTGAGTTAGGTGCCATCTGACAACATGTCACTATGACACGTCCCGTTATGTTCCTATGGAAACATTTTGTACTGTACATGCTATGCTTAGAACATTTAAAACGTGATGTTTTGAATGTGGATAAAACTGTGTAAACCACATCATTTCTGTACATCCCAAAGGATGAGAATGTGACCTTAAAGAAGAACAGAAACCTTTGTAAATTTTTCCTCATGCTGCTTTTACAATTCTTACCTCCTTTCTTTTCCTTCAAACATTTGTATATGAAAATAGCATACTGTGTATGTTTTATATCAAATGCTTTCCTGAAACTGTCCTAAATATGTATATTTTGACATTGTAAAGTATGTGAATACTCCTACATAAAGCATGTTTTTACATTATGTAAATGAAGCTAATATTTTGTTCAGTATGATTGGTCAAGTCAATGGAATAAATCCATAATTGTCTTAATTATTGTGAGGAGTGTGATTCTCAGCTGGGATGGGAATGACAGGTTCTAGATGATGATGGGATGTAAGGATGTAAGTTTGGGCAACAGGTATCACAAGGAGGCAAAAATTACCTTGGAGTTTGCATGTTCTTGTGTTGCTCCTGTGTTGAGCCCTCATTCATGGAACTATGTCCTGTCCATCTGGAATACTGAGATGGAAAAAGAATTGTAGGCTCTTGATTGAGACTAAGTATGGTTCAGTTTTGCATCTTGTTTTTGTTATTGGGTGTTGTTGAGTCAGAACTGACCCGTAGCTGATCCTCCTGTGGGTTTTCAGAGGCTGTTAATCACACTGGACGGGATTGCTCATCCTTCCAGCTGCACAGCTGGTGGATCCAAACCATATAAATCCACCAGCTGTAACTGTGTTAACCCCTTATGACGCCCTCATGTATGTCATAGTAGAGTCATGTTCCATGAAGTTCTCAGTGACCAATTTTTCTGAAGTAAACTGCCAGATTTTAAATCTGAGACATGTCTGGGGAAAGTTGAATTTCCAACTTTTCTGTCAGCAGAAACATACTTTACCCAATCGCACTACCCAGAGACTCCACACGTTATATTCCTTTGAATATATACTGGCATGCTCTTTTCACATTATCAAGGTAGTACAGCCTTGCTCTTTCCCTTCATGTTTGTTGTCATGCACCGTCTAGTTGGAATCAACTCTGGCTGACCCCTCAGTGGGTGGACTTGAATTGCGTGTCTTTGAGTTGACCGCCCAATTCCTTATCACTAAGGCAGACACATAAAATTCTGATGAAAACTATTGAGTGGAAGTTTAACCTATCTTTCTTTGAATGTATAGGCTTAAACACTGCCACATATGTTAGGGAAAACATCCTGCCCCTTGCAGTTCTTATAATAGACACACGAAATGGGCATTGCTAGCCTGATGTTCTATTCAAAAGGGAGAATTGAAGCATCAAGAGGTTAGGGAACTTTGTGCTCAAGATCACACAGCACGTAAAGGGACAGCTGGTGTTTAACTGCAGGCTTGTCAGTTCCATGGCTCAGACCACACTGCTCTGAGTATGACACATCACCTCTGTGAAGAAGACACATCACTCACTCCCAAGGTGAGGGTGGGGTGCATGTGTTGTGAAATTAATGGAGCTTCAGCTGCAGGGTCCCTCACGTGCATGGGCCCTTCTGTGTCTCTACATAGAATTTCACCCTAAATTAGGCCTTACACAATGTAGATCTTCCCCTGGTTAAACATGGACAGCTTTTGATGATTTAAAAACAAAAAACTTCAAAAGCCAAAAGAGATCACGTTCGACTTAAGTTTCATTTGGAGAAAAGCATTCCTTTAACATAAGTCTGAGTTCTTCTCGGGGAGATTTTGGGACATGAGAACTGGTCAGTGGTGGCAGTGGCAGTTCTTGCTGGGCTGGAAGGTGGAGATTGAGTCTGGGTTCAGTTACAGTACAGAGAATCTGCTTAAGAAGCAAGAAGAAAAGAGCAGGTTGTGAGGGAATCCATTCCTCACCTGAGATGCTAGGCAGAGGACATCTGCTCAGAGAGGAGACTCTCATCCTGAACACTCCTTCTGTCCACTTTGATAATTTCTGCTTTAAGTGACCAGGGTCCTACCCTGAGTGAGGGGTGCACAGATTCCATGTGTAAGTGGAGATGAGATTCCCAGGGCGAAAGCCTCACCTTCGTCTTTTCACCACATGGCAAGTGCGTGAGCACTGCTTTCATTCTCTTTGCCCCTCGAGGTTTGCCTTAAAGTCTGTAAAGTAGCCTGAAACAGATGACAGAAACAGTCTACTAGCAATTGCACGGACATGGATGGAATCTGCCCACTCCGGGAAAAATAGGAGGAAACCTGGTGGTTTAGTGATTAAACACTAGGTTTGAACTCACCAGGTGTTCCATGGGAGAAAGATGTGGTAGTGGACTTCCAGAAAGGTCACAGCTTTGGAAGTAGAGTGATTTTGAATTGGAATCAACTCCAAGGCAGTGGGTTAATGGTGGTTTTGGTTTTTTTGTGTGATGGCTCCTATGCAGGGATCAAACAAATGAATGTCTGCTTCTAAAGAAAAATTCCCACTGGTTTCTGAGCTCTGATGAAGAGACCCCACGTGGGCTTTTTTTCAATTCCTTGTGCTCCGCTCTGTTGCTTGATTGAGTTGATTTGTTTTGTTTTAACAGCAAGAGGTTCATTTATTCATTGCTGATACACAGATGGTACCAACAATGGCATTTATTAGGGAGGAAAGTTGTAGATTGGGGGAGACAAAGAATATCTCATAGTACAAATTTAAATTTCTCCCAACAGTTCAAAGGCACAATTCCTCAATTAGTCCAGGCTCTGGTTTCAGTGCAGCAGTCAAATCCAAATCATCCAGCAAAGTTTGCCTCAAAGTAGTTATAAGTCAGCTTTTCCTTCAAGTATCTGCCAAGAACAGGAAACACCTTTAACTGTAGCCAGTACAAATGCAAACAGCCTCAGGTAACACCTTGCCACAGTTTCTCTACAGCAGTGCTACAGTCTTTTTGACACTATCACCAGGGTCTTGCCAACAGGGTTTGCTCAAGGCTTGATTGGATTTTAGTGGAGCTCAAACCAACTGATCTTCACTCGCTCAATGCCATTGAGTCAGTTCCAACTCCTAATGCTTCTCCATGAAGTTTCCAAAGCTGTAAAGTGTGTCAGGAAGAGACTGACCCTTTCTCTCCTAAAGAGCTGCTGATGGACTCCCCCTGCCAAGATAAGCAGCATTTCAGGTTAGCACAACTTGCTACAGACTGTACCACCAGACTTCCTTTATGTTGTAACTCAACACACAAGCCAGTGGTTTTTGAAGAGCCTAGAGAATGTCTTTTTTGAATATTTTTTTGAATTATTTGAATAATAATTATCAGTCAGGATTCTCTAGAAATAGTTCTCTCTCTCTCTCTCTATCTCTCTCTCTGCCTCTCAGAGAAAGAGGGCATCTATACATACATACACAGGCACTTATACCTATAGTGATTTATGGTTATAAACTGCACTGCTAACCCAAAGGCAAGTGGTTTGAATCTACCAGCTGCTTCTCAAGAGAAAGATGGGCAATCTCCTCCCATGCAATTCACAGCCTCTGAGAACACACTGGAGAGTCAGCTATGAGTTGGTACTGATTCAATGGCAATGAGGATTTTTTGTGTCCCATAGAGAATTATTATAAGGAATTGGCTCAAATGATTGGGAACACTGGGAATCCTGAAAGAATTGAACGTGCTGCAAATGCCAGCAGAACATCTGTGTTATGGCCTTAACATAGAATTCTTCTGTATAATCCTATACTCCATGGAGTATAGGATTGCTAAGCAGAATTACAGAAACAGTTTCTCATTTGGGGGAAACGTACTTTTGCTCTTTAAATCCTTCAGTGAATTGGATAAGGCCCACTCACATTATTGAGGGTAACCTTTTTTCTTTAAAATTAGCTGATTGTTAACTCAGTCCCATAAGGACAAATACTGCATAAGAAATAGAAATAGAAATAGAAATAGAAAGATAACTAGTAAAGTGTGTATGAAGATCCAAGATGGTTGGGTTGGAGTAGAGGAATGAGGATGGGAAAGGGGTAACCTTAGGGTTGTCCGATTTAATGGGTTGAGGGAGGGGTGGGTAAAGGAAATGGGAGAGATCCAGTGTGAAAAACAATGTATACAAACTTGGTAAGCAAACCAGTATAAAATAAAAATTAAAAAAAAAAGAAATTAGCTGATTTTAACTGCTGACCACATTTATTATAATATATAGTACTTTCATAGCAACAACACCTAGTCCAGTGGGTATTGACTCAACGCATGAGCACTAGAACTCAAGCTGATAAATAATGTTGAACATCACAGGATGTGATGTCAGGATGACACCACTGGAGTAAAGACTGCTTGATGTCAGGGGTCCAGGACCAAGCCTGTGGGCACCCAGAGCACTCCAGCTCAGTGGAGTGTTGAAATTATCTGAAGAACTAGTCAGAGAAAGAACTGAGCCAGACTCTGCAGCGGGCAGGCAGAGAATTCTCTCCCCCTCACTTGCCAAGCCTTGTTTAAAGTTTCATGTTCATTTTG